TCGAAATCAGCTATAATTTCAAATGATCGGTAAATGATCGGCAAGTGGTCGGATATTTTTTGGAGGGGAGTGTACATACACTAAGAAAGGCATGATGCATTTATTGAGAGTAAATATTTAAAGTTCTTATAAGTTTAGGACCATGCATTTAGAGAGGATTTATATAGTACGTGCAGTGCATTTAGAGAGTTTGCCTGCATATTTATAGAGGTGTACTTAGAGGAGTTTGTTTCTTCATATGTTTAGAAATAGTGTTTTGTGAAGAACTATCCAAAAGGAACGAGTTGGGTTCACTAGTCTAAATCGTTTTCGAAGTCGTCATATATTAAAACAACTCGCTGAGAATCAAAAAATCATTTTGGAAAAGTACACCATAGTTCTTATTATTTGGATCGCAGCAAGTTTTACCGATGATTCATAAGAAAGGAATTTCAATTATTTCCAATTATTTCAATTATTTAAACCTTGAATACCGTTGGTTTAATTTATAAACTAAACCAAAATGATATATCCTGCACAAAAATTGATAATCTGTCTCTAACACGTGCATTAAATACAACTAGGAACAGAACGATCTTAACTAAAAAAAATTCTTTTGTGCATTACAAATCCAATCAGCATCGACTCAATTATTGAGCGGGCGGACATCGGGACAGTTTTGTGTTACATTGCCTGGTCCTTCGCTTCGCTCCGGACTAACTAACCTTATGTACCTTTCACAAAATTTTTTTTTGCTAATCTTCTTGGTAATGCTGGTTATTGGACTATTCGAATGGTAAAGTTTTTTTGAATACGAAAGACATGGCCGTTTAGAAAACATCTCCTGAGAAACGAAATTGCAACCATGTACACTTTGACACCAGAGTAAACCTTTAGTGATATTACATCTTTACAATAATTCAATTAGAGAGGATGTGTAACAACTATAAAGAGTAAATAATTGGATGATATCACTGATAAAAAACGAATTTAGTCACAAAGAAGTATAATGAATTTCGAAAGCAAAGCTTAAGAGAAATATTCGAGCTCTTCGAAAAATATTCCGCCTCCAAGACATCTATCTCTAAAGGGATGCCCCAATGGAATATTCCCCAGCTATAAATGAGAAATCACACCATTCAAATGCATAATTTCTGTGATGCAAAAAAAAAAGATATTATAGAAATACTTGATCCAAGGGCAGCTGCAAAGTTGTGCCTAGTTACCATTAAACTAATTGTGTCCAATTGTATACCTTTAACATTTCATGTTTGTTGTTTATTTGAAAAAAATAATAAAAAAAGTAAAATACAATCATGTACTTGAAGTAGGACATCGTGGTTCATTGTATACTGCGTTTTTATAAAAAATTGTATCACGAAACGCCAATTCAACTAACCAAATTAAATTGTACGGATAAACATTGGATAACATGCAAGTTTTATCTTTTAACTAATCTTATTTTGGATCTAAGGCAATTAATTTGTAACCTCTTTAAAAATATTTTGTCCCAATAATAACCAAAGTTTATTGTATAGGATTAAATAATGATATCAGTGGAATACATAAAGTCCCGAAGCGGCTTCTTTATATGCCTTGAAATAAATTTAATACAGATATATATTTTATTATTATGTAATTCTGTCTCAGGTCTGAAAATCATGATTAAGTAATTGGTTAATTAATAGCTTGTTTTCTTTTTTTTTTTTTTTTAGGAAAAAAAAATGTTTTCTTTACATTTAAAAAATTAAAATTTCTGATGTTCTCGTTATAATGTTCTATTTTAAAAATGATTTATCTAACAATGAATGACTATAATGTTAATCATTTTCACCAAAATGTAATATATTTATTTGGTTTTCAAAAAAAAAAAAAAAAAAATAAAAAATAAAAAAATAAATGATTGAATAAATAAATAGATATACCAATGCCTAAAATAATATATAATATTTACAAATGTTTTATAATATGATGTTGATCTTTCCTTGTTAAGTAGTTGGTATCGAAACTCCGATTCTAAAATTAAAAATTTTTAATCCCTCAATTTTGTTTTCTTTATAAAGAAAAAAAAAATAATTGAAAAAAATTGTGATGATGAATAATGGATATGATGTTGATAAATGTTCGTGTTATATATTATTAAATGTTAATAATACTAGATATAGACATTTTTTTGGGTTTTTTTGGTTTAACTGGAGAGTCTGTCGATTCGATATTATGACTAACGAAATCAGCAATTGAGGCAAGAGTGTGTAACTTTTCATCATGTGTTGTCGATTTCGCGAGATCTTAAAAGAAAGGAAAGAAAAAGAAGCAATAGTTAATTAATATAACGTGCTTTAGGAGGGACAAGGACAAAGCTTTATAAAATTTACATGTACCTGGAGACGGAACTGGAGATGGAAGTGGAGATGGAAACGAAGTGGTAAAATAATTGTCATCATTGACCATGGTTCTCACACTACTATTCCTTGATAAATTAGGAGAATAATTGTCATTAACGACTGTTCTAGCACTGCTACTTCTACTTAAATTAGATTCATCATAATAGCAAGTATCTGGGGAAAGGTATTCATTATTATGATTGTGATGAATTAAATTAGTTGTAGTAAGAGGATGGTCATCATCATCATTGTAATTAGGATTATTGATTAATGTAGTGAAATTATTATTATTATTATTATTATTATTATTAGTAGTAGTAGTAGTAGTATTATTATTATCATCATTAGAAACGTTGATGTTGTTGTTGTTGATATGTGTTCGAGCATCGGTAGTATAAGTAGTAATACCACTTGCATTACATGATTTTCTAACAGTGGGATTTTTCTTCTTCAATCTATTATTGTAAAAATTTTTGATCATAAGGGGAGTTGCGTAAGGGATTTTTTTTAGAAATTTTAGACCATTTGAATTTATGTTTAGCGCATTCCTCCTCAATAATTTGTATCTCTTTTTCATTAAATTTCCTTTTTTTAACTGTGAAAATTCAAAGAGAGAAGGAGAACACTTAATTTAGCACACAATAAATTTAATTGGTATGCCGAAAGAAAAAAAGTAAAATAAAATAAAATTAAAAACTTATGATAGTTACTTGAAGGAGTTAAATGGTTGACCCATCTCTCTCGAATCTGTTTGGAGTCTCTCATACCATCAAAATGTTTTTCCAGGATAGACCAATCGATATCGTCACTATCAACGCTATGTTCAGTTACGAGGGTTTTCAATAAATCATCCTCCTAGATGAAATCAGACGATTTAAACGTTAAACACAAAAAGAAAGGAATCATTTATTCTTTATGATCGCGATACAAATCAATGAGACTCACCCATTTAGCCCATCTTCCCTTACGTTGTTGATTTTTATTACTTCCGAATCCCATATTATAAGATAATGTGAAAAAAAAATTATGTGTAAATATTTAAATATTTGCAGTAACAGTAGCAGTGATAGAAGTGGTGGTAATGGTGGTGGTAACGGCGGTGGAGGTGGTGACCGTGGTGGTGGTGGTGGTGGTGGTGGCGGCGGCGGCGGCGGTTACGGTGGATATTCAGGTATTCAGTAGATATATTTCTTCTCTCAGAGAATAGTACTCTCAACAACTTATAATACCGAATATCAAGGAAGTTGAACGATTCAAAAAATATGTGAAGGTTTATTAAGGGTTATTTTTCCTTATTGGAAAAAAAAGGATTTTATTAAATTTTATTTATTTATTTATTTATTTATTTTTTTTTTAACGAAAAAAAAAAAAAAAAAAAATTAAGGAAAATAAGTAGGAGTTAAAAGAGTAAGTTTATTTATTTAAATTTAGTGTTTTTGCTTTTTGAAATGAGACATTTTATTTATATTTAATTTACCGCCAAAAAAAAAAAAAAAAAAAAAAATTTAACAGTAAAAAAGTACTTTGAAGTTGACTAAATATGGGAAGAGCTGAAAGGGATATAATTCTCTAATTGGTTTAAACCCATAAGAATCTAAAAATAATTTACGTTACCAAAATGGGTTCGTTATCAATAAAATCATTCAATGGAGATAACCGCATTATCCCTTCGAAATTCGAGAATGGAGTACAGGAAACCATAATGCGAGTGAAACGAGAAATAAAACAAAAGGAAAACTAGAGAAAATTAGAACATCCAAATGGAAAGGTTTACGTTGCATTTTTCCACGCAGTATTATTATTATTTTTTTTTTTTTTGTAAATATTCAAGCGAGGAAAATCTTTACAATGGGATAGCTGTTTATCTTTTTTTTTTATCGGCTAATACATTTGAAACGCTAAATGCACACATGAAATAAAAAGCTTGGAGGAAGCTTTTCTTCAAAAAAAAAAAAAAATTAAATGCATTTTCACATCGGAAAAAATTTTATTCTTATTTGTTTTTCACTATTCCCCAATCTCAAACTTTGGTAACAACGTTGGAATGGAATTCTGGTTTAGTTATATTTCAGGAACAAATCTAAAAATTGTACCACGAAGATATCCAACGTGTCCCAAGGTACAAATAAAAAAAAAAACGCCCAAAATTCCATAATTACACTAATTACACAAAGTTATATCATGCTTTTAATCGTCGTCATTGAACGACCTTGGTGCTGCGGTGGCGATACAACTCCAAAAAACAGAGATGAATTTGGATTTCTTTGTTTAATTTAACGACTGTTTTTTATTATGATGTTCAAATACGTGTGACAAACATGATTTATGACCGTCCTTGCTTATTTTTGAATCATTTGGGGATAAAAAGTTTATGACAAAGCGTTCCGCAGTCTGCATGTATGTCATTCCAAATACACAAATACATCATCAGACCCTTTCATCGTTTTTTTTCTGACCTTTGGTTCGATTGCAATTGTAGTTAGTGTCAAAGTATTTCGGTGTGAACTCACCGATGCATTTCTGTTTATGCCCATTTGCAAATAAAGAATGATAGTAAATGAATGATGTTGTGAATTATTTTTTTGGGCGTTTTGCGCTTCTGCATGTTGTACTAGTCTTCATTCCTGATATCTTACCGAATGTAACATTAATACCTATTATGAAATAGAAAATTCCATCTTTAATCAACGATTTACTAATGAAAAAAGAATGGAAATAAAAATGTGAGGGATTCTTCAACTCTTCTAATTACCAATCATCTTGTTTCGGCTTTCATTTTTCACCTTGAATTTTTTTCTTTTTTTTTTTTTTTTTTTTGATTTTTTCGTAGTTACGCAAGTTTATTGAAACGTGGTGATTCGGTTTAACCATGTGGATTACACAAAATAGTTAAAAAGTTTATTAACATTAAAACAGCCACTCTGTTCTAAAAAAAAAAAAAAAAAAAAAAAAAAAAAAAGGAAAAGGAAAAAAGAGGTTACTTTTTTTTGAAATTTTCAAAAAAAGAATACTTGAAATAATCATTATAATAAAATTATAATTAATATTAATCTTTGATATGCATCGACAATTCGAAAAAAAAATCATCCTAGGTCGTACAATGAATTGAGCTTTTTCAAAAAAAATAAGAAAAAAATAAGAAAAAAAAAATAAAATGAGAATAAAATGAAGAGACTTAACTGGTACATTCTCCTTTTTGTTGATTTTATTTATTTATTCGAAAAAGGTATCGTGTAATTTTTTTGGGGGGAACTCTTTTTTTCTACAAGTATGAATTAATTTATGCACTGCTGGCAAACAGCACATAATCACGCGAATAATTTGATATTCAATGCTATAATGATATGTTTTATTATATGTTTTGCCTTTGGATCGACGACGTGACTGCCGATTATTCTAGATTTGATTTCCATTTTTGTTGAGGAAATTTGGAATTTGGTCATCATTCGACAAACACCCTGATGCAAAACAAAAATCAACTTTGCGATTGCTGAACCTTACTTATTGTAAAACTTTGTTCAACATATCAACAACCTAATCCAAAGCAAATAATGATTACGAATTATTTTGTTGTTGCTGCGGCAGAAAATCAAAGGCATTGACAAATGAACCGATTTATAGTAATAATAATAATAATAATAGCGTTGAATTCTTTATTTATTTTTTAAATTATGTGTCATTTACGTTGTACCAGGACATTTATGATAAAATTTAATGATAAAAATTTTAAACCAAGAAAATACACTTCTCCAATTTCGATTGTAAGTAAAAAAAAAAAAAAATAATCAATTTGTAAATAGCAAACCTCTAATTGAATTCCCTTGTTTGATATTTTGAGTAGCTTTTTTATGTACATAAGTGTCTGAATTCTCGTAAGTTTGGGAATTCGGTCCTACTTTTTTTTCTTATATTCCCATTTCAATTAAGAAGCGTAACTCCTTGTTCCGATTCCGAAATAAAAAAAAAATATTCTATAAAATCATTTTTTCAAATTCTTATATTATTAAAATCGAGTCATGAGACATAGTATATCATATGATCTTTTTGACCATCATGCTATAAAAAGAGTCGTTTTTGATGAATTAATTTTTTATAAAATGTGTATATGAGTAAAATAAAATTACTAACTATACCAAGTGTATAAAATCACATTTTTAGTACATAATATATATTTATTTTGTGCTTGAAAATTTGGGAGAATAAAATGTTAATCAAATAAAAAAAAAAACATCATAGTTTTCTAAAAATAAAAATAAAAAATACTAACCACTCGTCGTTAGAGCCTTTTTGATAATTTGCGTTACCCTTCTTTAAAATTGTCTGAAACAATTCAATCACAACGGCAGTCACCTTTTATATCCATCTGATTAAGTTTACTAAATTGAGTTTCAAAATTAGAGAATTAAATTATTTAAAAAAAAAAGCCATTTAAGCAACAATGTATTATTTGCAAACCCAAGCCATTTCTCAAAAAAAAATAGGAAAGCCCAAATAAGCCACAAAATAAAGAATTCAAACTAAGCCATTAAAACCGGAATGAATGTACAATGACATATTATTTATTTATTTACATTTCATGTGGGCTATGTAATAAAAAATCAAAGCCATTCAAGTATATATTTAGCTAGCTTATTTAAATTGATGCAATAATTATTTTGAAGTTTCAATTTGATTAGGAATGCAAGTTCGAGATATTCGAAGTTCATATAGCAACTAGTGTTCAAAGCAGAAGAGTATGAGGCTTTTGATAAAACCTCGTTGTTACCTTTTCATCTAATCCATCTTAAATTTGTTCACCTTGCTTGTCTCAGAGACGTATAATCAAAACTTGAAGTGAAATTTAAGAGGGTAAAGCCTATAATCTTATTATTGATATCAATGTAATTGTTTTCGGGTGTTGAAAATTTTTTTATAGAAATAATTTGTGTAATTTTATAATGTTATTATACAGAAATAACTAAGTTTTAAATATTATCATGTGATTTAAATCTAAATATACTAGATATTTTTCTAGTATAAAAGTCATTATTTTGATCTATCTGACAAAAATATAACAAATAATTTGGTCTTTCATGGATTTATACCTTTCGCAGACATATTATTTGCCTCTTTTATTAAAGCAACATCTTTCTTGATCCATTAATATCTGAAAATGCATTTAGAAGATATGTAAAAGTAATTTTACAATAAAGGTTTTCTCAAATACTTCACGATCTAAAACACTTAATATTCTTAGTAGATGTTTATAATAAAGTAAACATATTTTAAAGAGCCAAAGTATTCAAAAAATTATTTTATCTAAAAATCTAAAATCTCTATAAATAGTATGTGAATACTTTTACATTCTTTAAAATATCATAATACAGTATCAAACAAAGAAGTACTACAGAAATAAGCTCAAAATAATTAGTAAGAAATAAAAATCGAGAATAAAGATAAATATTCAAAAGAATAAGATTGGCCTATATAAGTGCAATAATTTATTACAAATAACAACATCACTGATTTTTTATTTACAACTTATTTTAAAAATTAAGAAATTAAAAGAAACTATAATAATAGAAGAAATTAAAGGTAATGCAGTATCTTAGCAACAAGCATAAAAAAAAAATGAAAAAAGGTAATAAATAAAAACATTGTAAAAATACATGATACTTAAAGTTTCCTATTATTTTTAATCAAAAATCCTGAATTATTGAAAAAATTGTATATAATATTAAATTTAAAATTGCAAATTATAAATAATGCAAATAAATAATTAAAGTTAAAATAGTTAAGCATCTTTATGAAAAAAGAAAAGAAAATTACAATATTTATATAGTAAAATTAAAGCTTTACATAAGCCGGCTTGGCTTGGATTGCCACCAGTTCAAGCTGAACCACTTTTTTTTAGCTCAGCACAGCTTGTAGAGATCAATTAACAAGCTAAGCTAAGCTAATCTAGTTTACAAGCTGGCTTATTCAGCTTATATTTATATTTAAAAATGAAAAATCATTGA